ATGCTGTGATCTCTGAGTCGCCGAGCTTTCTGAAATGCTTCATATGTGTCTGACGAGAAGCATCAATTCAGTATGTGTGAGAGCATACATAATTGTAATCACCAGTCAAAATTTACAAGTTGCTTTTAGCACATCCCAGGGGATCCAAGGACTTCCTATCATAGCATTCAACAGGAAACACATGCAAACTGATGCAAGCAGTTTTTTTACACCACAACAAAATGATGCTGTGTGAATGGTTCCAAGACATAGAGAAGAATCGAAATGCCTTTCAAAGTACCAAAAACTGGAAAGAGAAGCAGCCACAGCTAATAGTAAAAAAAGAAAAATCATAACTAGCTAAGCGAAAAAGGAGGTCTGTACTCAGATCCATGTTTAACCAATTCAATACCGGGCAATTTTACACCTTCCTGCCCAGGCCAGTTTTCAGGTTTCAGCGCTCTCACATTTTGAATGACAATTGCGCGGTCATACAACATTGTACCCAAACTAAAATTTTATCCATTTTTTTCACACAACTAAAGCTTTCTTTTGGTGGTATTTAATCACTGCTGGGGTTTTTTATTTTTTGCTAAATTAACAAAAAAAAAGACCAAAAAGTTTTGAAAAAAAAAAAAAGTTTTTCATTGTTTCTGTTATAAAAGTTTGCAAATAAATAATTGTTCTTCAGAAATTTAGGCCGAAGATGTATTCTGCTACATGTCTTTGGTGAAAATAACCCAAATTAGGATGTTTTATTTAGTTTGTAGGAAAGTTTATAGAGATCACAAACTATGGTATAGATCTGAAAATTGATCAGTCCTGAAGTACTGACGGCCAGTCTAATTTCTTGAGGTCCAAGAATGTCAGAACAGTACAGATATCCCCCAAATGACCCCTTTTTGCAAAGTAGACAGTCCGACGTACTTCATAAGAGGCATGACGAGTTTTTTGAAGTTGTAATTTGTTTGTCATAATTTTTTGGAAAATTAAAAAAATTAAAAAAATTAGTTTTACCATTTTTTTTTTTACATATTGTCACCAGTGCAGTACAGCATCATCATATAACTGGCATGGCGGTGATCGGGGACACTGACTGGTGACAGTATGAAAAAAAAAAAATTATATATATATTTTCTTTATTATTTTTTATTACATTTATTTTCTTTTTTTTAAGATTTGTTTTCATATTTCACTATCACCAAAGTAGTACAATGTTACCATAGTAACATTGTACTACTTTGGGGAAGTGATCAGTATTTTTTTTTACACAATTTGCTTATAGCAAAGAATTACTTTGCTATAGGCAAGCATTTACCTGAATGACATCGATTCATTCAGGGGTTTTTTTTTTTTTTTTGCTTAGCTGTGATTTGGCCACAGCTAATCACATGACATGTGCATGTGATTAGCTGTGACCATTCACAGCTAGACACTAGTATACAATGGATGGCATGAATGAAGCCATCCATTGTATACAACTGTCATGTGACCTGCTGTGATTGGTCACAGCAGGTCTCATGGTACTGGCAACGGGGCCGATACTCAGATCTGTCATCGGCCGTGTCCGTGGCACACGGCCGGTGACAGATCTTGCCGCTGCGCCACTCTGCAGGAGCGCAATCTGCGCATGTGCGGGAGGATGCCATATGGCGTCCACCCGGAACGCTGATGACATTTGCCGCCCGCCATTCGGCCATAGGGCGGGCGGCAAATGGTTAACTAGCTGTCAGAGATGGGATGGCAAGAGAGGTGGTGGAGGCAAGGTTGACTGTTCCTTTTTGGCAGGAAGTTGTCTGTCCAAACCTCGTACGGGCAGTTAGATACTGAATGGCAGGAAGAATCAATGGACTACAAGAGCGCTCACCAGAGCCCTCACAGTCCATTGAGAACTACAAGCCATCAGCTGCAAAAGATGATGGTACTTGTAGGCATTCATTCACAGGAAACGGAATGAATGACACGGCTGTGAGGGAAGAGCCCAGTACAGCTATGTTTCTTCTTTATAACTTTGGTTTTATTGAAGATTTTGCATGAGCAACAAACATTACATCAAAGAGTATACTGGTTTTGAACATGAGCATAGACAGTGGAAGGTGAGAGGGTATGACCTCCACTACCTTCCATAGACCATACACAGGAAGACATTACATGTTCCAAATCTTTTGCTATATTAACATACATTTAATGGTTAATAATATTCTTGCCATGAACAATGTAGATTCACTATCGGATTGAGTCATCCCTGTGTAGGGGAAAAGCCAATCCCAGTGTCCTATCAGACATACTGTAGAGAAATAAGGAAGAGAAAAGGGAAGATAAGTTAGGCTAGAAAGCGAAAGATGAGGCACTAGCTTGATAAGGAGAGATGTGGGAAAAGGCACAGTAGATACCTGTGGGTATAAAGTGCTGTTCTTAGTGGGGATACCGTACGGTAATGGTAGCGGAGAGTGGCTCTCTATTGGGGTTTGACCAAGAGAAGACCGCGAGCATGATGAAAAATGGATAAAGGAGGGGGAATGGGTTCATTGTAATTGGTGTGATCTAGTATCATTAAGCCAAATTGGCCAGTAGCGGAAAAAAAATTTCAGCTGAGACTGATGAGCTTTTGCAAAGAGAAATTCCATCAGGCAATTTTCATTCAAGTTGGCTATAACTGAATGTAGTGAGGGGGTTTGGGGGCTTTTCCAAATTTTTGCTATAGAGAAAGACATGCTGCAATGAGAATATGTGTCAGATCAGTACTGATGGCCATGTCTGAAGGCCAAGTCCAAAGAGAGCTACCTCAGGGGTAAGGTCATGTTTCTTTTTTATTGTAACAGAGCTGTCACAGAGGGGGAAACAGAGAGAAACTACAGGAGCTGGAATATGTTACATGTTTGACCCTACATACCTTTAGAATATGTTCTAAAGGTGAACTGTCATATCTCAGATGAATCCCTAACTATGTACTATACGTACAGTTGCAAGAAAAAGTATGTGAACCCCTTGGGATTACGTGGAGTTTTGCATGAATTGGGAGAAAATGTGCTCTGAACGTCATCTAAGTCACAACAATAGAAGAACACAGTCTGCTCAACATAATACTACACAAACATTAGATGTTGCCATGGTTTAATTGCGCATAACATGTAAACATTCACAGTGCAGGGAGGAAAAAGTATGTGAGGTCCTAGCTTAATGACTTCTCCCAGAGCTAATTGGAGCCAGGAGTGAGCCAACCTTGACTCCAATCAGTGTGATGATATTGGATGTGTTGCTGACAGCTGTCCTGCCCTTAAAAAAACACACACCTGTTTTGGGTTTACTGGTTTCAAGAAGCACTGTCTGATGTGAACCATGCCTCGCAGAAAAGAGCTCTCAGAAGACCTACGATCAAGAATTGTTGACTTGCATGAAGCTGGAAAGGGTTACAAAAGTATCTCCAAAAGCCTTGATGTTCATGTGTCCATGGTAAGACAGACTGTCTACAAATGGAGAACGTTTAGCACTGTTGCACCCCCCCCCCCCCCCCCCCCCCCCCCCCCCCCACTACTCTCCCTAGACGTGGTCGTCCTGTAAAAATGACTGCAAGAGCATAGCGCAGAATGCTGCATGAGGTAAAGAAGAATCCCAGAGTGTCAACTAAAGACCTACAGAAATCTCTGGCACATGCTAACATTTTTGTTGACACATCTACAATAAGGAAAACATTAAACAAGAATGGAGTACATGGGAGGACACCACGGAGGAAGCCATTGCTGACCAAAAAGAATATTGCAGCACGTTTGAAGTTTGCAAAAGAGCACCTGGATGTTCCACAGCACTACTGGCAAAATATACTGTGGACAGATGAAACCAAGATTGAGTTGTTTGGGAAGAACACACAACACTGTGTGGAGAAAAAAAGGCACAGCACACCAACATCAAAACCTCATCCCCACTGTAAAACATGGCGGAGGGAGCATCATGGTTTGGTGCTGCTTTGCTGCCTCAGGGACTGGACGGATTGTTGTCATTGATGGGAAAATGAATTCCAGAGTTTATCAAGACATTTTGCAGGAAAACATACGACCATCTGTCCGCTAACTGAAGCTCTGCAGAGGATGGGTGATGCAACAGGACAATGACCCAAAGCATACAAGTAATTCAACAAAACAATGGCTGCAACAGCACAGAATACGCCTTCTGGAGTGGCCCAGTCAGAGTCCTGACCTCAACCCGATTGAAATGCTGTGGCATGACCTTAAGAGAGCGATTCGCACCAGACATCCCAAGAATATTGCTACACTAAAACAGTTTTGTGAAGAGGAGTGGTCCAAAATGACTCCAGATCGTTGTGCAGGTCTGATCTGCAACTACAGGAAACGTTTGGTTGAGGTTATTGCTGCCAAAGGAGGGTCAACCAGTTATTAAGTCCAAAGATTCACATACTTTTTCCTCCCTGCACTGTGAATGTTTACATGTTATGTGCAATTAAACCATGGCAACATCTAATGTTTGTGTAGTATTATGTTCAGCAGACTGTGTTCTACTGTTGTGACTTAGATGACGTTCAGAGCACATTTTATGCCCAATTCATGCAAAACTCCACGTAATCCCAAGGGGTTCACATACTTTTTCTTGCAACTGTATGTACCTTGAATTTGTTCTGATGATTATTTGTCATATACCTTGTCATTTCACTGTAAACTTCCAAAAACTGAATAAGCTTTCCATACAAAAGAAATATGCATTAACTGAAAACAAACAAACAAAAACTTTCTCTAAGTATATATAAATTTATTTTTGGAGAATGGTGCGCACCAAGCATAAAAGAGCCAATAAATAACAATGTGTTTTATGTGGAAGAGGAGACCTTTCATTATCACACACTTTGTTCAGGTTTTTTATTATTTGTGCATCAAATGAAATCTGTAATAAAAGTTATTGAATAAAAGATTAAGTTTTAATAAAGCTTCTCTCCGGATGCTGCTTTCTGAGACACAGAGTAATGCACAGGTAAGCTTCTGTTTTTATCTAGAATTTAACTATTTTATTACCTCCTCTTTTGCCACATCTGTTCAAAGGCATCTGCGAGCTCCACGTTGGTGATCTCTTCTGAATCTTGGAATTTTAAGAAGCCGTTTCCTCCATGACCTGGGAGAGATGAAGGAATGCTTTTAGCAGGGCTTGAAATTTCCACTTGCCTGCTCACCAATGGCGAGTGGAAATTATGGTGGGGCGAGTGTGTCCCCCAGGGCCGTCTTGCTGAGCTGGCTCGGAGCTCAGGCCGGATCTGTCAGTGGCACTGGGAGCCGTCAGACTGCTCAATAGCTGAGTGCAGTGAAAGCAAAGCAAGGAGTGTGTGCTGTGCTCTCTGCCTCCCTCTAGAGTGCAGTACCCGGATCTGTGCGTGAACAACGAAGTACTGCAACGTTTTTTGGGGGGGGGGGGGTGTACGTGTATGTGTGTGTCTGCGTATGCATGTACATGTGTCTGCATGTATGTACATGTATGTGTGTGTGTACATGTGTCTGTGTGTTTGTGTGCATGTATGTACATGTGTCTGTGTGTACATGTGTCTGTGTATGTACAGTGGGGATCGAAAGTTTGGGCACCCCAGCTAAAAATTTGTATTAATGTGCATAAAGAACCCAAGGAAAGATGGAAAAATCTCCAAAATGCATCAAATTACAGATTAGACATTCTTATAATATGTCAACAAAAGTTAGATTTTATTTCCATCATTTACACTTTCAAAATAACAGAAAACAAAAAAATGGCGTCTGCAAAAGTTTGGGCACCCTGCAGAGTTAATAGCTTGTACTGCCCCCTTTGCAAATATCACAGCTTGTAAACGCTTTTTGTAGCCAGCCAAGAGTCTTTCAATTCTTGTTTGAGGTATCTTTGCCCATTCTTCATTACAAAAGTCTTCCAGTTCTTTGAGATTTCTGGGCTGTCTGTCACGCACTGCTCTTTTAAGGTCTATCCATAGATTTTCAATTATGTTGAGGTCAGGAGATTGTGAAGGCCATGGCAAAACCTTCAGTTTACGCCTCTTGATGTAATCCCCCGTGGATTTCGAGGTGTGTTTAGGATCATTATCCATTTGTAGAAGCCATCCTCTCTTTAACTTCAGCTTTTTCACAGATGGCATCAAGTTACCATCCAAAATTTGCTGAAATTTTATTGAATCTATTTTTCCTTCTACTCGTGAGATGTTCCCTGTGCCACTGGCTGCAACACAACCCCAAAGCATGATTGATCCAACCCCATGCTTAACAGTTGGACAGAGGTTCTTGTCATTAAATTCTGTGCCCCTTCTTCTCCAAACGTACCTTTGCTCATTCTGGCCAAAAAGTTAAATTTTAACCTCATCGGTCCACAGAACTTGTTTCCAAAATGCATCAGGCTTGTCTCTATGTTCATTTGCAAAGTTCAAATGATGATTTTTGTGGTGGGGACGTAGAAGAGGTTTTCTTCTGGTGACTCTTCCATGAAGACCATATTTGTACAAGTATCTCTTTATAGTGGAATAGTGTACCACAACTCCAGTGTCTGCCAGATCTTTCTGGAGAGATCGTGCAGTCAAACGTGGGTTTTGAATTGTTTTTCTCACAATCCTGTGAGCTGTACTGTCTGATATTTTTCTTGGTCTTCCAGATCTTGCTTTAACTTCCACTGTTCTTGATGACTGCCATTTCTTAATTACATTCCGAACAGAGGATATTGACATCTGAAAACACTTTGCTATCTTCTTATAGCCTTCTCCAGCTTTGTGAGTGTCAACTATTTTCAGTTTCAGTTTTCTAGACAACTGCTTAGAAGAACCCATGGTGCTGATTGTTGGGGCAAGGTCAGATGAGTCTGGGCATTTAAAACCTTTGAGATTGACATAACCTGGTCTTCCCAGACGATGATTGAGAACAATCCATGACACTGGCAGGTCTCAGCTTTGCAAAGGGGGCAGTGCATGCTATAAATTCTGCAGGGTGCCCAAACTTTTGCAGACGCCATTTTTTTGTTTTCTGTTATTTTGAAAGTGTAAATGATGAAAAAAATCTAACTTTTGTTGACATATTATATAAGAATGTCTAATCTGTAATTTGATGCCTTTTGGAGATTTTTCCATCTTTCCTTGGCTTCTTTATGCACATTAATACAAATTTTTAGCTGGGGTGCCAAACTTTCGATCCCCACTGTATATACATGTGTCTATGTGTATGTACATATGTCTGTGCATGTGTATTTCTGTGTATGCACATGTATCTGTGTGTATGCGTGTCTGTACGTGCCTGTGTGTGTATACATGTGTCTGTGCATGTGTGTACATATTTCTGTGTGTGTGTGTATATATGTACATGTCTGTGTGTGTGTACAGGTGTCTGTGTGTGTGTTTGTTGGTGGCGAGTAACTCTAAGGCCTGGCTAGTAGCTCAGGACTTGAAATTTTAAGCCCTGCTTTTAGCATCCATGACTCTGTGTACTGCAGAGGAGTTTGGTGACAACACACGGGTTTATACAGGCAAATGAAGCAAAGTGGTTCCATTTGGCCAAGTCTGTGATCTCTATGGTAATTGCATGTTTTAGTATACACCAGCCTTTCTCAACCAGGGTGCCTTGAGGTTTCTTCAGGGGTGCCTTGGCAAAATGTCTAAAAATTGCCCAAAACATGTATACAAGCCACTGGGTGGAACAAGCCTGCTTTTTAGTTACACAAAGTCGCTTGTTTTCATTGCGCACCATTTACGACCTTCTAGCTTCCAGTGTCCTGACAACCAATGACATCATCAGTTGATAAGGAGAATGTCAGCTGTCTGGGGGAAGAGAAACATTGGAATACTAGTCAGTACCAGTGTGCAAAGGTGTGTTTTGCTCTGGAAGAATAAATTGCCTAACATTGGGTGTCCCACATGTGTGGATGTTGCTGCGTTATATAAAACTATTAGAATAGCTTTTCACATTTTAGAATGGGGTGCCTCAAGACTGTGCATAATTTTAAAGGGTGTCTTGATTGAAAAAAGGCTGAGAAACACTGGTATACACTAATAAGTGGTGCTCAAAATTGTTGGTGTGGTATACAGGAGGAGAAATGATTGCAGACTCCAGGAGCCAGTTAATCTAATATCACAGGCAGCTGCAGCATTTAAAGGGGTTTTAGCTTTATTCAGAGTTTAATCTAATCCCCTTTTGTACTTTGTGAGAGTTAAACAGCAGGATAGAAGGTTTCATGCTGTCACACACTGTAACTAAACCCACCTTTACTTTTCTTGGATGGTGACAGGTAAACAACTTGAGCTTGGTACATATAAGATGATAAATGCTCAGAGACATGCTGCCTACTGCTTAAAGCGGTATTAAATTCCAAACCAAAAGGGTTGGTTCACACTATAGAAACGCAGTCCGGATGAGTTTCTGCACGCTTTGGCACGTTCCGGTGCGTTTCAGTTAATTTTTTTCCCCTCTCTTTTCTTCAATGTAATAGTGACATGTGGGTTCCAGTGAGGTTCTGGTGCGTTCCAGTGCGTTTTACCACATTCCAGTACAGTTCTGTGCAGGAAAAATGCAGCCTGTTTTACTTTTTTTTTCTGCATCCAGAACGCACTTGAACTGCAAGCTCTGATGTGAACTATGACATTGACAACCATATAACCTACTTTCTGTGCATTCTGGATGCAGAAAAAAAAGTGTGAATTGGCCCTTAGGCTTTTTTCCCCTCAATTTTCCCCTGGTGATCTGGCTGGTAACACACCTCCTGTATTAGAGTGCCCCCACTCTGGATAAAGGAGCACAGGGGGCACCTTTGGAAAGCAACATGGTTAAAGCAGATCTTCACCCTCCAAAACTTTGTCCCCCTGCTCCACCCTTCCTCCAGTCCTCTACATGAATAGCAAGCTTTCTTTTCTTTTTTATTAGCCTGGCCCTGCCTTCCTTGCTCGTCATTTGCCTAGGCCGGGTGTCGGCAACCCGCGGCTCTTTTTCACCTTTCCTGCGGCTCCGGAGCACACTGCCCACCAGGTGACAGGCAATAGGGTCGGCAAGCCGCGGCTCTTTTAATGCAGATCTTCTGTGTGCCGGGCGCCCGCTGGCAAACATTGGCTGTCAGGATGCAGGCGGAGCAGCCCGGATGTAGGCGGGGCAGCGTGACGAACTCCTCTCCTCTCACAGTCCGCCCTGAAGACCAGAACGGCGCGGGAACCCAGCGAGAGGAACGCGCGGAGCAAAGGTAAGTGAATTCACACAATATGGGGGATGAATTACTATGGGGGATGAATTACTATAGGGGGATGAATTACTATAGGGGGGATGAATTACTATAGGGGGGATGAATTACTATAGGGGGGATGAATTACAACGGGGGATGAATTACTATATGGGGGATGAATTACTATATGGGGGATGAATTACTATAGGGGGGATGAATTACTATAGGGGGGATGAATTACTATAGGGGGGATGAATTACTATATGGGGGATGAATTACTATATGGGGGATGAATTACTATATGGGGGATGAATTACTATATGGGGGATGTATTTTCAGTTTTAAAAATGTTTCTCTCAAAATAAATTTCAATCGTGGTTTTGGCGAGATTTGGCTCAGTCGAAAAAAAAGGTTGCCCACCACTGACCTAAGGCTATGATTGTGATTATGACGATACACTGTGGCCCTGATTAACCCTTTGCTTACTGGGCCCTTAAACCCCCTTCATGACCAGAGCGTTTTTTGCAATATATGCAGTGTCGGATTTGTTTTAAATGTTGCAATGGTTTTGCGGCTCCCAGTCTTTTTTTCCCTCTCGGAAACGGGTCCAAGTGGCTCTTTATGTCTTAAAGGTTGCAGACCCCTGGCCTAGGCGAATGACATGCACTGTGCTCCCTTAGTCTTTCATTCAGGAAAGGAGGAGGAGGGGGCAGGCCTATCGGTGTGTCATCGTGAGGCATGCTGGCTGAAGTTGGAACAGCTGGCAGCCAAATGCGACATCACAGCAAAACATGGCGGTGCAGGACTGAGTGCTGCCAGGAAAGAAAAGGATCCCAGCTGGACAACGTTGGATCCGCTAGGTGGGTGAGCATGTGAAATGTGCTTAGAATATAAGCTTATCCCCTTTGATGATGTGCGATTAGCACGAAACGCGTCAGAGGGAGCTACAGCGTCATTATCTCTCTGCCGCCAGAACCATGGAGGTCCCGGCGGCCATCTTTTAATTCACCTCATGGTCAGTGTTTTTTGATTCCTTTACCTATGCTATACTGTATGGAAATAAAATCCATTTTTTAAAATGGTATCACGCTATTGGTCTCCTTTCTTTGTGGCCCTTGGTGAGTCACTTATCACCTATAGAGCCACCCAAAAGGGAGACCGTGGATTGTCAGCAACATCCAGCGGGGGGAGGAATATCTGGCCTGACCTGACCTTTAGGAGCTACCAGTGGATCCAGTAGAGAAAGTTCATCTCTAAATGCGCAGTTACACTGTGCATCTGGTGAGTGCACAGCCTTACCCTTCTCACTATCACCGCGTGGAAGAAGCACTTTGAAGGAGAGGGATTGTCACTAAAACTGTTTATTTTGCACTGCATGTTACTCTGCCTGTGACATAATGTTTGTGATCACATTAGTCACCTAATCACTATATATTGATATCTTGGACGTTTTTGCATAATTATAGTTGTGATATAGCGCCGCATCCTTTATATTCTATGTTTTTGCAAGGTTTTTTGGTATCCTTTTTTTGATGCTTGGCTGCTTTATTTTATCCATAGCGCTCACAACTTTCCTTAAAGCATGTGAAATGTGCTGTACACATCACAAGGTAATCAGGAGTTTTAAGGAAGGGAGACAATCTACCCTGGGAAGTGGAGAGTGTTAAATGGACTAGAAGAATTAGATACACTAACAAATTGAAGACAAATTCCAGCTCAAACTACAGCTACACAAGCAGTTACAGAGACAGTTTTTTTTTTCTTTTGGAATAAAAGGTTTTACATGAATAAATGAAAACTGATCATTGTAAGTACCCGTTAGTCGTAAATGGTTTATCTCAACGCTCTTAACTTAATCATTTGCAGGAGAGCTTATTCTGTTGAACAAAAACAGACTTATTGGCTGGATAACCAGGTGAAAAAAGGAAAGAAAGCTTAAAAAGAAAGCTAATGCAGCTAGGAATAAAAACACGTCAAGCAGTACAGCTATGTTAGATACTGGGGCTATATTTCTTGACATGTTCCATTCCTCCTAGTATGAAGATACCCCGAGGCAAAACTTATCCTATCCCTTATGGGTTTTCTATCCCTTACAAAATCATTTGGATTTGAGCTAGACCTACAGGAATTACCCAGGGCGTTAGATGCAGACATTCTGTAAGAAAGTTGAATTGCACTTCAACACTTTCACCCTCTAGCCACACTGGGATACCTGGAGTGGATGTTTTGTTTGTTTGGAGCTTCACGTGGTTCCCAGGTCTGTATATGGTAGAATCCATCTGAATAAAGCATATTCATGAAAACGCCACTCCTGAAGAAGCATTTAGGCGAAACGCGTTGAGAGGGAAACCCACCCACAGTGTATCTCTGTGAACATCATATTTTAAAATTTTCAGTATTAGTCCCCTGGTGGTCTTTTGGATATATTATGTTGTGGAGGGGCTCCTAAGGGATGTGTTCTACCAGATTACATGTTCTGTATGTTATGTACAATCTTCTGCATTTTTTTTTTTTCATGATGTGAAGGTGAATGTTACCTTTTTTTTTTTTTTTAAGAATTGCCAATAATTATTTTGATATGAATAAAGCACTGTATTTTATTACCGCTGTATGTTCAATACTTCTTTGAGAGATCATCCACCTTTGAAGTCTCACTATTATATGTTCCTCTCCTGATTAGTCAGGAGAATATTGATCTCTGAGATTTGAACTTCTCAGATCCGCTGAACCTCTGGAGAGCATGTCCTATATAACCCAATGTAGAATATCTGCAGAGCATACCCCATATGTCCCTACAGAGAATCCCCAAACAAGAAAAAGTTATAATCCTATACCCACAGTTAGGATCAGAGGAAGGCAAAAAACCCAGCAAAGCATGATCCAATTTGCTCCTGCATGGGAAAAAAAATTCCTTCCTGATCCCCCGAGAGGCAATCGGATATTCCCTGGATCAACTTTACCTATAAATGTTAGTATCCAGTTATATTCTGTGTATCCAAGAAAGAATCCTGGCACATTCCACATTTTCACAGCGCTCACTGTGAAGAAATCTTTCCGTGTTTGGAGATTAAATTTATTTTCCTCCAGACGTAAAGAGTGCCCCCTTGTCCTCTGTGATGACCTAAGGGTGAGTAACGCTACACCGAGTTCACTATATGAACCACTGATGTATTTATACATGGAGATCATATCCCCCCTTATGTATTATACATGGAGATCATATCCCCCCTTATGTATTATACATGGAGATCATATCCCCCCTTATGTATTATACATGGAGATCATAACCCCCTTATGTATTATACATGGAGATCCTATCCCCCCTTATGTATTATACATGGAGATCATATCCCCCCTTATGTATTATACATGGAGATCATATCCCCCCTTATGTATTATACATGGAGATCATATCCCCCCCTTATGTATTATACATGGAGATCATATCCCCCCCTTATGTATTATACATGGAGATCATATCCCCCCTTATGTATTATACATGGAGATCATATCCCCCCTTATGTATTATACATGGAGATCATATCCCCCATATGTATTATACATGGAGATCATATCCCCCCCTTATGTATTATACATGGAGATCATACCCCCCTTATGTATTATACATGGAGATCGATACCCCCCTTATGTATTATACATGGAGATCATATCCCCCCCTTATGTATTATAAATGGAGATCATACCCCCCCTTATGTATTATACATGGAGATCATACCCCCCCTTATGTATTATACATGGAGATCATATCCCCCCTTATGTATTATACATGGTGTTCATATCCCCCCTTATGTATTATACATGGAGATCATATCCCCCCTTATGTATTATACATGGAGATCATATCCCCCCTTATGTATTATACATGGAGATCATATCCCCCCTTATGTATTACATGGAGATCATATCCCCCATAATTATGTATTATACATGGTGATCATATCCCCCCTTATGTATTATACGTGGTGATCATATCCCCCTTATGTATTACGTGGTGATCATACATGGATTATACATGGAGATCATATCCCCCCTTATGTATTATACATGGAGATCATATCCCCCTTATGTATTATACGTGGAGATCATATCCCCCCTTATGTATTATACGTGGAGATCATATCCCCCCTTATGTATTATACATGGAGATCATATCCCCCCTTATGTATTATACGTGGAGATCATGGTGATCATATCCCCCTTATGTATTATACATGTTGATCATATCCCCCCTAATCTCCTCTTCCCGAGAGAGAATAAATTCAGTTCCTCTAATCTTCCCTCATAGCCGAGCTCCTCCATGCCTCGTATCAGTTTGGTTGCCCTTCTCTGTACTTTCTCCAGTTCCCCAATGTTCTTTTTTGCGAATTGGTGCCCAAAACTGAACTGCGTATTCCAGTTGCTTTGCTGAACACAAATGTACCTGTCATGTAGATAAGAACATTGCTTCTGTCATCAGAAAGGAGTCTTTTCAGTCTTGGGGTACTGGGTGGCAATCTTCCAGTCAATACTCTAAGAAAGTTCTCTACAGTCACCTACAATTTGCAAGAAAAGAAACATATGGTTTTACTAGTTCAAAACCATGCTATAAAATGTGTATACAAAGCCAATAATTTCAAATAAGTATGCAGCACTGGAGTTCAGATCCTACAGACATGGTTTCTCCTTCTGAATTGAAATGAAACCTTATTCTAGATTTTTTTAAGTGGCATGGCACTTCAGGCAGAACATGCTTTATAGTTTCTACAATCAGAGCTCTGTGTAACAAAATGCATTCATTGTACAGAGCCTACACATGGGACATTAGACTATGCCTAACCACTTCACCTCTCTGGATATACTATTCATGTGCAGAGCATGAAGGGTTTACAACAAGCTCATGATGGCAACATAAAATATTTTTGGGGCGACTATATTCTCTTCAAGACCTGGCCTTTTCTGACACTTTTTGTTTCCATGTAAAAAATGTGTTTGTGTGTGTGTGTGGGGGGGCGTTTGCTAGAAAATTACTTAGAACCCCAAAGAATATTTTAAGCAGAGGCCCTAGAAAATAAAATGGCAGGTTTTTTTTTTTTTTAATGGCAAATGTTATTTGCACAGAGGTTTTTCAAATGCAGCAAAAAAAAATATATAAATGGGGTATGTAGCGCTAAAGAGTATATATATCAATCAAAAAAAGAGGGTGTCACCATGCATAGTAATATAACAATTCTATTATAGAAAAATAAAATGTTCATATAATATATCAGGAGAGGTATTGGATGTGATCCCAAAGTGCTTCAAATCCAACTTGATAGAATGGAAAAAGTTTAAATATATAGTGTGGTTATGCGCTTACCACATATACATACAATTTGGGCATTTGTATGTAAATCATCAACAGCAGGACATCAGGGTCTGGTCAGCAGCATGAGCAGCATCTGGTCACATCAGGACATCAGGGTCTGGTCAGCAGCCTCTGGTTACCATAGCGGACACTCAGGGATGGTGGTACACACACTCTCGAGGGTCCCCTCAGACTCACCAGTAGGTCCAACGTTGTCCAAGCATCTAATGGCCCCTCATTCCAGATCGCCACCTTGCAAAGCTTATCATAAACGAGCCTTTTGTTATTCTGAAGAAAGAGCTGTTTGTTTGTGTCCATGTGACAACGTTGGACCTACTGGTGAGTCTGAGGGGACCCTCGAGAGTGTGTGTACCACCATCCCTGAGTGTCTGCTATGGTAACCAGATGCTGCTCATGCTGCTGACCAGACCCTGATGTCCTGATGTGACCAGATGCTGCTCATGCTGCTGACCAGACCCTGATGTCCTGCTGTTGATGATTTACATACAATGCCCAAATTGTATGTATATGTGGTAAGCGCATAACCACACTATATATTTAAACTTTTTCCATTCTATCAAGTTGGATTTGAAAGCACTTTGGGATCACATCCAATAACTCTCCTGATATATTATATGAACATTTTATTTTTCTATAATAGAATTGTTATATTACTATGCATGGTGACACCCTCTTTTTTTGATTGATATATATACTCTTTAGCGCTACATACCCCATTTATATATTTTTTACGATTTAAGGTATTGAGGATTACCCTGTATGTTAGCTGCTTGCTCTATCTGATTGCGCTCACTTACCTTACCCTCTACATATATATATATTATATATAATTGAATTTTAATGCACAAAAAAACGTTATATAATACCCAATTGTTTGGTAAAATGTAAGAGATAATGTTACAGTAAATAGATACTGAACATGTCATGCTTTAAAAATTGCGCACACACCTGCGCAACGGTGACAAACTAATTAAATTTCATTATGTATGGGCGACGCTTTAAAAGCCTTTAAGTACTACTACTTTAGATTTACACAGGTCTGGTGCTAGACTTAGTGCCCTTGATCTTGCTGTTTTTGCGCATGCGGGGCAGATGTGTGCGTTCTCCTTTGTCATGAGCACAGGGAGACGGTTTTTAAATTATTTTCTTTTATACTGTCACTTTTTTTATCATTTTAATTGCATTCAAAGGAATATAAATATCCTCTGTGATAGCAATAGGCAGTGACAGGTACTCTTTACAGAGATATCTGGGATCTATTGGACCCCAGATTTCTCCTTTGCCCTTAACAGCACACCGATCTTGGTGTGATCAGATGCTTTCCCATTTTAAAAAATGGCGCTGTTTAATCCAAGAAAACCATAAGCCATGAATGCTCATTGGTTCCAGTTTCCTATTCCATATGAAACCATCTTCTCCTGATTAGTCAGGTGAATATTGATTTCTGAGATTTCAACTTCCCATTTATCACCTGTGGAGAGCATGCCCTATATCGCCTATATAAAACTCTGATTACCTCTATGGTCAGAGGGCTGAAGCTCGGTCTCCCAGTGGGATGTGAGAGCCCCAAAAGTACGTGGAAGGTGGTGGGAGGTTCTTGTAAAAGCAATCTAACGGATAATGATCATCTTGGAATCATCTCGTTATAACCTCTGGTCTTCAAGTGGATATATCTGCACTCCCCACCCCCTCTGGGAGGTGCAGAAGACTAAAGCACCACAACAAATGGGCTCAGAATGGCAAGCAGGAGAATGAGAAGGAGGAGATCAGGAACATCTATTCTCTTATTTACTTTATGGTCTATGAAGCAGGAAGCGCCAGGGAAACAGCTAATCAAGCATGATCTGGGCTAGATTATCTGGAGTGGAGGGCAGGGGAGACATTAGAGGTCTAGGGATCTCAGTTGTGAGGCCAGGGGAACATCACCAGTACCTCTTTAGACCAGAAGTGCCAACACATGAACAACAGAGAAAAATTAGGCCTCCTGGTCTGCCAGACAGTTCTGTTTTGTAAATCTCAAGTTTGGATAGCCAGAAACACAATTTCCTTTTTGTGTTGGGTAAAGGAGAGCTCCCATTTATGTATGCCATATGTGTATTTAGCTGTTTGCCTGGGGTTCAGTTTTAGCAATAAAAAGCATCTACCTCTAAACAAACCGCAATGGAACCCTAGTCTGTACCCACACTAATGGATAAGGCTTTGTAATGGGTTTTCTTTTTGGTAGTTTAGCACTATGCTGATTTAATATGTGTCTTCGGACAAAGAGGCAGAAGTGGTGGGCAGAACGTCTGGAAAGATACTATGAAAACGGGAGACAGCTGGTGATGCTAATTGCTGTTTTCCAGGCCCCAGATTACAAACGCTTAAGACAATAAATTCTTCGGTCTACTTCTGGAACTGGCACTGCCAAGGAAAGCTGTGGGCTCATAGTGCAAAGCTGAAGAGTGAATCACTAAATTTCAATGCTGAGTCACTGCATGAAATGAAAATATAATTACCTATAGATGAAGGGGGCAATAAACGTGGAAGGTTAATGTGTCACTGACGCAATGAAAGTCTGTACTGCCTCTTTTCATAATTAGTAATGTATGTAAGCAGGGTGAAAGCAAAAGGCTGAGTTACATTCAACTCTTAAAGTACTTGTCTGGGCTAAATTAAAAGAAAAACACATATTCAGCACATTTCCCTATGTTTTGTCCCTTTAAAATACTGCAGGTACAAAATAATTCATTTTCATCTATCAGAATGTATGTATAGATCTCCCCGGACCCTGCATTCGCTATATCTGTTCTCACAGGACCCTGCATTCACTATATCTGTTCTCTAACAGGACCCTGCATTCACTATATCTGTTCTAACAGGACCCTGCATTCACTATATCTGTTCTAACAGGACCCTGCATTCACTATATCTGTTCTAACAGGACCCTGCATTCACTATATCTGTTCTAACAGGACCCTGCATTCACTATATCTGGTCTCCCAGGACCCTGCATTCACTATATCTGGTCTCCCAGGACCCTGCCATTCACTATATCTGGTCTCCCAGGACCCTGCATTCACTATATCTGGTCTCCCAGGACCCTGCATTCACTATATCTGGTCTCCCTGGACCCTGCATTCACTATATCTGGTCTCCCCGGACCCTGCATTCACTATATATCTGGTCTCCAGGACCCTGCATTCACTATATCTGGTCTCCCACAGTACTCACAACATGGAAATGCAATTATTTTAGTAAATATAAACTGCTAAATACGTTTTCTCATCAGCAGTTAGACCGGTCTTGTGACTTCTATCAGTGTCCAGCAGAGCACTGGTTACAGCTTGTAGGAGTTTTCATTCTCCTGAAGCAGGATGCAGGCTGCATGCAAAGCTTAAACAGTCATAATTAAATTCAGAGAAAATGAAGGAACGATTTATAAGTAGAAGAAGACACAGTAAATGAATACATACACTTCTAAGCCACTCTGTCGTCCATCATGGTGGCTGTGGAGGTGTTGTCTAGCCAGCAAGACCATATTTTGTGAAATTTACGGGGGCAGCCTCTATTAGCATAGGTAGTTTGGTATAGAGACAGATTGGCGATTACAGAAACGTGTCGTGGGAGGAGAGGTTTGCTTCCAGCACATTGCAGCTGCTTTACAGGCATAAAATATCAGTGGATTTAGGAGGGTATGCATAGCCAAAAAAACCTTTCTAGTTTGTGTTTTTTGAGAGGAGTTTTGTTGAGTTGTGGATCTGCCAGAAACCCAGTGAGCTCCTAACGTTCTGCAGTGAGCTAACACATTGGGGGAGATTAAAGTGGTAGTAAATTAAGAAAAAAAATCCCTGCAATGTAAAGGCACAATGTGCTAGTATGCATAACATACTAGCACATTATGAAAGACTTACATTGAAACAAGGCCCTCCAACGTGCACGGTCACTAATGCAGAGGCTGCCATCTTCACCCAGTCTTCCTTCAGAGTTCACGGGCTGTGGTCACACTTGAATGGCTGAGCCACGATGACGTCACTCCCGCGCATGCGTGTGGGAGTCATGGCCACGGTACAGTGTGCCGAGAATGGCATGAGTATGCCGTTCCTTCAGACGCATGCGCTGGGGATGTCACTGGCTACCAACCAATCTCCTAAACGGTGCAAGCCTAAGAGATATTCATTTAACCTACAGGTAAGCTTTATTATAAGCTTCCCTGTAGGTAAGAAACCTGGTGTACCAAGATGTAAGGATCCTGAGGAAGTCACATGTTGAGCGTGACACAACGTGTAGATGCGCTGTGGCGTGTTTCCGGCGGAACGCCATCTTGGTACACCAGGTTTCTTACATAGTACACCCATACCTCGTGGTGTGACTGTCTGATTTTGTTTTACCAAATGTGAGTGTTTTACTTGGCGGTTTTTACATATTTACACTGCAATAAAACAGTGTTGCACTATGGAAGATTTGTTCTTTGTTCTTTCATGGCCTTAATATGGTACTTATAAGTTGGCTGTACTACATTTACCTGCCTGTGGAAGGGGAATCCATGCTATATGCGAGCTACCAGTGAAGGTCTGTGGAACCAGTGGAGCCTGTATGGTGTGGAGATATTTCCTGTGTAGGATCCAGGGTGATCCATAAGGCGTGTTGACCCATTGGGTCGCATTAAGGAGGTGAGGTGGCATTGCTGCCATTTAAGGATATCGATATACAATTTGCACATGTACTACAGCACTTGTTTGGAAGATTGAAGCACATTTTTTGCTCTTTTGCACCTGATTGGACATTAGTTTATATTTATTCATTGGATTGGTTTGTTGTCATTTATGATAATTTATTCATGTGATTGTATTATTTGGGGAATGTCACTTTTTTATACAAATATCTCGCATTTTGGGATTCACGTTATATGCCACTTTGCTTTTGGGGCGATTATCTCCCAATTGGGATTGGGTATTATTCACTTTATGTAGGTCCTAGGTTGGGACCTGTTGGTTATATGCACTTATAATCACTACTTGTGACACTTATAAGTAGACCCTTGGAGGATCTATCATCTTATACATATTTATTATTATTGTACATATTGTATTTATTTATGTTATTTCATATGTTATTATTTATGTAGCGCTACAAAAAACACCATTTTTTAATATTATTTACACCTAAATGTAGCCTAACTCTCGTTAAATCCAAAATTTCCTGGATAATAACGAAGAGAAAAATGTTCTGCTCATTTAATAGACACCTTTCCTGCTTTTCTCAAGGTGTAGGAACCTTGGGTCGTACAATTCCTCCCAACAGGAGAGAACTGCGTGAGGGCTGACAACACTGCTTAGGACTCCAATGCAGCCGGGGCTGAGTTGTCAGCTCACAGAGTAACTTAGGAGCACACTGGAATGGGACCATAAGCGGCATGAAAAAACTACAGCAAACATGCAAAGAATAAAAAACAAAAAACACCAAACTGGATGCAATATAGGCCACGGCCTGGTTTATTGGTGTAAACATTTTTGTTACTAAACCCACAACAGTAAAATCAGTCTGTAAATACAGTAAAGCATGCTTGTTATACTCACTGTAGAACCTAAGGGGTTAATCCTTCACATTGTGTAGAAAGGATGCTTGATCCTGTCTTCTCTGATCCTCCCCTTCTTCCAGTGTCTCCCAAATATCTCCTGATAGAACCAAGGCTAGGGGGCTAGCTGTACATGCTCAGTTTGGTGTATATTGCTAGAGAGTTTTTTTTTCTTGGGAGAGTGCATGTGATCAGCACAGGGCCAATCAGCACTGTCCAGGCAGAGGTCAGGGGGTCTGCCTCCTCCTAGAGCAGAAAGAAAACTCCACCTACAAGCTTTAACCAGTGCTCAGCTGGACACTGATAGAAGTCACAAGACTGCTCTAACTGCTGATGAGAAAAGGTATTTAGCAGTTTACATTTACTAAAATAATTGCACTTCCATGTTCTGTGTACTGTGGGAGACTAGATATAGTGAATGCAGGGTCCTGGGTTTAGTAACCCTTTAATTAGTGAAATGAACCAATACAATGTCCAACTCCCCCATACCTCATATCCTCTGTAATCAACTTCCACATTGTCGCCATAAACATTAAGCTCCATATTTTTGTGGCTAAACACAGTGGCTGGTTTGGGGTTCCTCGGGTTACAAGCCATGTCGTCAGCAAGCATAAGGATGATATGACTGTAATGGAAGAAACAGAGAACATGTTAGAGGACAGTGATTTTAAAACAAACATTAAAGCTGAAAGTAGGGCAAATCAAATGTTGCCTTAATACGAGAGAAATGTGTATTCTTGATTGAATCTTGGTGTCCTTTTTGAATATCTTCCAGATCTGTGCAGTAAACCAGCATGAAACAGCTCCTGTACTAAAACTCTATGCATCAATTTCCTGTAATAAAGACCGGTCACTGCTGCTCTCTCTCCTTATACAGGACAAGTGGTCTTGTCTCCGCCTCCTTCTGTTATTTTCTGCAGGCAGCCTGTAGTGTGGAGCTGTTGGGCCCCTCTCACAACTCTGTACATGCTGATGATTTCACCATTGCTTTTACAAAGGTAATATTTCTGTTTGTAACGGCATTTGGGGACACAAAGTGGATTCATATCCTTTGTGACTTTTAAAGAAAATATTTAAAAGCATTTTGTGTCTCGTTTGGAGCACATTACTTGCTAGAATACAAAAAAAAGGAAGAGGGGCGCCAGACTAAGTGTAGTATTTAACAATAATTTAATAGCACAAAAAGATTGGTAGCTCACTAGATACAAGTGGGTCAGAGGCATATATCTCAAGGGTGGACGTCATCCTGGTAGAATCCCGAAGGCAGAAGGGGAAGATAGATGGACATCTGGGGTCCAAGACTATGGAGGAAGAGAGGTCTCCTGACTCGAATCATGTCTCAATCAGCGTTCCACAGCTGTGTCTGTGTAGGAACCAGGCTGGAAAGCAGATGGCTGCCGGGTAGATGTGACGTCACCACGTGAGCCTAATGCCGTAAGGAGGGGGCAGTAACGCGTTTCAAAGCTACTGCTTCTTCATCAGACGAGGCACCCCTCTCTTCTTTTATCTTCAACAACAGAGTCCAGCTTAACTCTTAGGGTGCTGCCTCATGATGGTGCTGAGTATATACAGACTACTCCCCCACAATTAATGGGACTTTTAAAGTTTTATCCTCTCTCTCTCCAGCGCCAATATCTTTCACTTTTTCTTGCTAGAATATGAAAGCTTGCCAATAAACCAGTGTAAAAATAAGGAAGTGGAAATGATCTGTGAATACACCAGTACAATGATTTACATACAGTATATAGGAAATATACAGCATTTTCGTGTGAGGCTGCTACATAGGCACTTAATTAAGGTAGAACTCCAGTTTACAATGAACACCCTACCCCCACCTCTGCCTTCAAAGACCTAGCCATTATGTTTAACCTGAAGAGGTAGGCAAAACGTCCAGAGTAGTGCTCTGCAAACATTGTACATTGGATGCACTCTGTATTAAAGTGGAACTGTCAGGAATGGACTTGCCAATAATGGTGGGACTCAACTGCCTTGTGGGCTGCAGTACCAGGGCTGGCCAGCGGGTGCTCTCAGCAATCAGAGACTCACCCCTGCAGTCAGCCAAACACCTGAAGCTGATTGCAGGGGTTGTATTTAAGGAATGGCCAGACTCACAGTCAGGGCCTTGGTGTGTGTTTTTTTTTCCATGGGCCCCTGTATCTTGTATCCTGTGTTCCTGTTCCTGCCTGACTTGTTGCCGACCCTGCCTGATCCTGACCTCTGTTGACTTCTCCTGTTTGATCCCTGGCTTGTGACCCTGACCATTCTCTGCCTGACCCTCTGCACCGCGCTGCCCGTGAGTTATTGAACCCAGCTTGTGACCCCGACCACTCTCCCGCCTGTTCCTGGTACTCAGTTTGCTACTGACCCGGCCTGCCTGACGACTCTTGCATTGTATGTATTGTTATCTGTAGGTGGTTTGGTTTGTTTGCACTGTGTTTATATTTAGTTTTGCACTGCGTTTTGTATTGTTAGTCTTAATAAATCATATTGTTTATACCATATCTGAAGCCTGCGTTTCCCTGTGTCAGTCGACACACCTCTGGTCATACCCGGAGCCCTGACAGGAACTTTAGTCAGAAAATTAAGTCCTGCTAGATCACAGGCTGGCCCCTTTTGCAGATATATAGATGTAAACACTACAAATAAGCATCTACACTGTTTAAAATCCAGGAATACACGGTCTCACCCTGCTCTGCACATGCCCAGTTGCTCCCTATTTTTCGGCACTGTGCTGAAAGTGTAGAGGCCGAACTTCTGACAGCCTAAAGATTTACTGCTGCTCAGGTGCTCTGGGCTTCCACAAAATGGCAGCCTGTCAAGAAGGACCAGGAGAAATGCTTGAGGATATTTACAACACACACTAACTTTGGTAACAATTATTAATGAGGAATGCATGTTCTTTGCTAAAGAACATATTTTTTAACAAGTTATGGATAAAGTTCCACTTTAAATGCATATTCTCAAAATATGGCTTTTCAAAAATATTGAAAAAAGTCCACAAATCCAATGCTTACTTGTAAAATTAAAATATATAAAAGTGACTAAAATATATTAGAGTTTGTCATTAAAGTAACCCGTCAAGCAAACAAATGATGCAATACCCTTTTTTCCTGGTTCAACTATGCAGCTTCTTCCCCCCCCCCCCCTCAGCCTCCAGTTTGCTCAATGGACAATTAAACTCTCATGAGCATTAAAAAATTAAATGCAAGTCCAGGTATTCATGTCTAAATATCTGTATTAGCCTCCCTATGGAAACCTGAAGAAAATCCCTTCTGCTTCCCTTCCTTTTCAGCTTATCTACTCCTTCCCTGACAGAAGTCCAATTTGTGGGTGTTACTAATGCTGAACTCAGACAGGTCTTAGTTGCCACCACTCCCTGTTCAGAAAGTGTGCCTGAGGGGTTTATCAGCTGGAGGGCTGCCACCAAGTTCCCCTGTTCCACTCCTTTGTCTTTTCAAACAGTGACAGCTGGATTGGGCACCCCGATACAATCCAAACAAGTAACAACTAACTGTACAGTAACAAATAACTAAAGCTAGCCAAATACTGAAACATTCAGGCTGCACAAAAAAAAAAAAAAAAATAGCCAATTCCTTAAACCTGTGCTATAAATTGTGAATGGATGAATATCGTGCCGTGGCTATTGTATGTTGACTGCTGGTCCTGCCATTAAGTCAAAAATTTCCCATCTGACATCTTTAACGAGAGGAGCATGGCTGTCTGGGCCACCCACTGAACGATTTTTAGCCTGTTTCTCAGGAACTGGACACAATTTACACAGTATATGGCCAGCTTACGTGTACAGCCAAAATATGTATGTATATGTATGTTGCTGCATACAGGGGAGGGGCCACACAACATCATTGGTTGTAGCACTGGGCCAAACTATCGGGTATGTAGCACTGGGCCAAACTATGTCAATGGTTGCTAGGACACAGGCAGCTAGGCCATCTGCACCCTAGCAACAAAGGGCATTGTGCAACCTAACCTAGCTTGTTTCAGCAAAAGCTCCTAGTTCCTCAGGCAACTGCTGTCACTCAAAGTTCTTTTAGTCTCTTTGCTATAAGAGCTATCAGACAGTCGACCATGCTTACTCAGAAACGAACCACCGAGAAAGACAGGACAAGATGCTAAATGCACTTTGTTGCACGGTGACAGAAGGAGCTCAGAAAATGTTTGGCAAGATGATCTCTGCCCATTTAAAGAGAAGGTGATCCAGCAAGCAGCACAGCTACACCAAGGAGCTGTACAGCATTGTGGATAAAAATCAATGATTTTTTTTAAAAAATCCAAAAAAAAAAAAAAAAAAAAAAAAAAAAAAAAAAAAAAAAAAAAACGGATTTTTTTATTTAAATCAGATTTTTTTGATTTAAATCGGATTTTTATTGGAAGGTTATTCCATCATGAAACAAAGATTAGTTTTTTAATTATGTAGAATAAGGCTGTATATGTTTAATTTTTTTGGTAAATAAATTCCATGAATCCATTCACAATGTCATGCTCTTCCAGAGGTTTTTGTAAGATTATTGGGCAGTTTCTCTGCCTACAAGATATTATCACAGATGCTCGGTTTACTTTTGCAGTTCTCAAAACTGAATTGGACTCAGCGGAGATCACATGCCTCTTCTTCACAGCAAAAATGTTATAACATGAACAGAGTTAAGAAAAAGACCTTCATCCTAACTTCTACAAACCTATGAATACAGAATCAACCCCTTCAGTGCTAAGTTTCAAGAAGTTCAGTGAATAGAATAGAAACAATATTTTTCTGATTGTTTGGAGTGGAATAAATCTGCACAAGAAGAAAGTGAAACTAAGTGTGAGGAGGAAGGGGCTGACAGTCTACGTTTCTTAAAATATATATATTTTGTTTAGCCAAATTAGTTAACAAACATGGATGTTTAAGCCAATCACATATGCTGGAATGTTATTGTTTCAGTTGAATAAATCTATTTAAATTGTTATTATTAAGGTAATGATTATTTTTCTCCTTCCTAAGTACAACAGAAAAGTTGTCCAAATATGAATGATTAACCTATTAAACTGGGGATAAAAAAAACTAATATGAAAAGTTGTTATTCTAAAAATCTTCATCTACTTGCATATTAAAGTTATACCAGCAAGAATTAGTCTTTATGTAGAAAACTAGGATTTAAATCAAGCCTTACTGACTAGTGATTTAAATCGTGATTTAAATCAGTTTGATTTAAATCAAATCCACCCTGCTGTACAGTAACATTTTCTATCCTTTAATATGGTGAATAGAAGATCAAGAACCAATTACACTGGTTACCAATCAAGTTTCCAGTCCTCCTGACAGATGAGGGTTTTAATAGGATGCATCAAACTTGCATATTTACAAAGTCTGCTAAAGTTTTAGAAGTATATCACACAGTCATCCTTGCGCAGAAAGTTAAAATCATTTTATAGGTCACCTATAAAACAGAATGCATTAAAATAAAATGTCTAACTTTTTTAACCTAATTATTCAGCCAGGCCTGGCATCAAAGCCTTGAAAATGGAGTTCATTAAAACAGCTTTTTAATTTTATTAATGAATCACAGCATTGACAGATTCAAAGACTTTATGGATGGGGAAAAAGGAACAATTTCTTTTGCAGGTAGT